AACTTAAAACTAACCCTAAACGTAAACCGTAACTTAAAACTTAAACTAAAATGTATACATAAATATCAACCTAATCCTAAATCTAAAATGGAAACATGACCAACCACCAGTAAATACAAGATATAATACATTATAACATCTTTTGACAGACCATTATTTTTTTCAAGAATAGTTTACAACTATAAGTCTATCAAAACTAATAAGAACCGTAATCCACCGAGATATTATTGTGGAGAAACTTAGACCTGTTAGCGAAATAGAAGCTGAATTGTTGTAAGTGTAATGTCACTGAACTGGTAACGATGATGATAAACTCTAAAAGCAAAATGTTTATTTTTTTAAAATTAAACAAATACCGAATCTAAACTCAAAATCAAAGCCAAAATCTAAACTAATACCTAAATCCTAAATTTGTAATCTTAACCTCAACTTAAAACTAATCATAATCTCAAACCTTAAAATAAAACATAAAAAGCTAACGCTTACCCTTACCATTACCCTTACCCTAACTCTTAGCCTTAACTTAAAACTTAAACCGAAATGTATACATAAATATAAACCTAAACCTAAATCTAAAATGAAAATAACAAATGTAGCAGTAAATACAAGGTTTATACATTTTAACATCTTTTGTCAGACCTTTTTTTTTTCAAGAATAATTTACAACTATAACTCTATCAAAACTAATAAGAACAGGAACATAGCTTGATAGAATTGTGGAGAAACTTGGACCTGCTAGCAAAACCTAACGCAGCTCACATAACAACTTAAGGTTTCTAAAAAAATGTATCGAAGTTTACGGTATGTTCTTTTGAGCAATAGGAAACTTTCCAGAAAAGATTTCACTACTCTAGCACCTAGAGGTTCAAAAGAAACCTCTTCAGACTAAACGCAATAAATATCAAACGCGTGGCAGAAGGTATCTCAACTTGTTGCTGCCCAATTTCTTTCGATAATCAAATCGTATGGGTTCTTCCATAATAAATTGTTTGGTAATGAGGTAATGAATAAAACTTAAACCAAAACTTAAAATGAATCTGAAAGTTAAACCTAAACGTCAATAAACCTAAACCTAAAATTAAATCTAATCCTAATCTTGAACTTAAAACTAACCTAAACTTAAACCGTAACTTAAAACTCAAACCGCAATGTATATATAAATATAAAACTAAACCTAAATCTAAAATGGAAATAACAAATGTAGCAGTAAATACAAGGTATTATACATTTTAACATCTTTTGACAGCTATTGTTTTTTTTTCAAGAATAATTTACAACTATAACTCTATCAAAGCTAATAAGTACTGGAACACAGCTTGATAGAATTGTGGAGAAACTGAGGCCTGTTAGCTAAATAGAAGTCGAGTTACTGTAAGTTTAATATCACTGAACTGGAAACGATGATGATAATCCCTAAAAGTAAAAGCAACATATTTATTTTTTCTGATATTAAACAAATATCGAAAATAAACTCAAGTCAATGCCAAAACCTAAACTAAATGTTTAATCTAAAGCTAAACCTAATAATAAACACAAACCTACACATAAAACATAAAAAGCTAAAGCTTGCCCTTGCCCTTACCCTCAACCCGAAAACCTAAAACCTAAAACCTAAAACCTAAAACCTAAAACCTAAAACCTAAAACCTAAAACCTAAAACCTAAAACCTAAAACATAAAACCTAAAACCTAAAACCTAAAACCTAAAACCTAAAACCTAAAACCTAAAACCTAAAACCTAAAACCTAAAACCTAAAACCTAAAACCTAAAACTAAAACCTAAAACCTAAAACCTAAAACCTAAAACCTAAAACCTAAAACCTAAAACCTAAAACCTAAAACCTAAAACCTAAAACCTAAAACCTAAAACCTAAAACCTAAAACCTAAAACCTAAAACCTAAAACCTAAAACCTAAAACCTAAAACCTAAAACCTAAAACCTAAAACCTAAAACCTAAAACCTAAAACCTAAAACCTAAAACCTAAAACCTAAAACCTAAAACCTAAAACCTAAAACCTAAAACCTAAAACCTAAAACCTAAAACCTAAAACCTAAAACCTAAAACCTAAAACCTAAAACCTAAAACCTAAAACCTAAAACCTAAAACCTAAAACCTAAAACCTAAAACCTAAAACCTAAAACCTAAAACCTAAAACCTAAAACCTAAAACCTAAAACCTAAAACCTAAAACCTAAAACCTAAAACCTAAAACCTAAAACCTAAAACCTAAAACCTAAAACCTAAAACCTAAAACCTAAAACCTAAAGCCCAAAAACCTAAAACCTAAAACCTAAAACCTAAAACCTAAAATCTAAAACCTAAAACCTAAAACCTAAAACCTAAAACTCAAACCTAAAACCTTAAACTCAAACCTAAAACCTAAAACCTAAAACCTAAGACCAAAAACCAAAAACCAAAATTTTTTTTTATCTAACTAGACATTAGTGTGGAGTAATGTAATGCAGTTTGTAAAAAAAACTAAATCCTTGTAAGTGTATTTGGAAACGATGATGATATGTTTCTGTTGTTTTTTTTCCTCTAAATCTAAACAAATACCAAATCTAAAAAAAATCAAAAGCTCTACCTAGTTAAAATACTTAAAATAAACCATAAAACCTAGATACTGCAACCGAAAGCAAAACCTAAACCTAACATAAAATTAATGCTAAACCCAAACCTAAATTAACCTAAAACCTAATCCCAAAACCTAAAGCCTAAAACCTAAAAGCTAAACCCTAAACCATAAACACTAAATCCTAAATCCTAAATCCTAAACCTATAAACCCTAAACCCTAAAATCTAAAATCTAAAATCTAAAACATAAATCTAAACCTAAAAATAAAAAAAATATATATGTTTCTATCTACTTAAAATTAAACATAAAACCTAGATACTGCAACCTAAAGCAAAACCTAAACCTAACATAAAATTAATGCTTATCCCAAACCTTAATTAATAACCTAAAACCTAAATCCCAAAACCTAAAGCCTCAAACATAAAACCTAAAAGCTAAACCCTAAACCCTAAAATCTAAAACCTAAATCTAAACCTAAAAATTAAAAAAAATATGTTTCTCTTCGAGTCACGACAATCATTCTTATCGGATTGGAAAAACATACACAGAGAGATTAGTGAATCTATAATATGTACTAGGCTCTAAGTCCGTTGAGGAAAAATAACACGGGCGTTCGGCTCATAATTCTTTTTTCTTTTAATAACATAAACCTAAACCTTCTTAGTCTGGAATACGACCTTCGATTCCACCCAGCTCTCATGGGTAGCTGCAAGGCCGGCATCAGCATTAAAATAACTAACAATAACTTTGTTATATAAAATATGAACAGAATAACATAATAAGATAATAATTGTATTCTAAACATACCCCCCCCCCCCTCGTGATTCTTTTTTATTCCATGCAGTGCACATTCTTTAATCTTAGCTGTCAATGATGCCTCTAAATGTTGCATAGAAGATTAGTTCAACAGAAGCCTATGTCACCATCAATTGTGCTTCTCTATTCAGTACAACAAAAAATGGAAGATTGTGCACCAAATGTTGTTGTTTCCTTGAGAAAACTAACACTTCCAGTGTCCGTGTCTAGTGGAGACCGCAGTTTTTCTCATAATTGAAATAATTAAAACATCCTTGCCTTCGACTACGTCAAAAAGCATATTCGGGACTTACAATTAATTTCAATAGAATGTGATTACGCTTCGACACTGGGATTTAAGGAATTAGTAGAAACTTTTGCGAGAAAAAAAAGGCGCGAAAAATGAATTTTGACTTGGCATTCTACTACTACTAATGTGTATGCAATTGATAATAAATTAGCATGCCACTTTGACTGACTTTGTTTTCTTATAAATATTTTTAAAAAGTTAATGTGTGTGAAAGGAGGCGTTTTAATAAGTGTTGCTGGGAGCGCTAAAAACGGCACTGGCACTGGGTACCTGAATCACGTAAGGGAAATGTAAAATGCTGACCACATCATCCGTCATAAGCTGAGGTCAAGAAACATAATTATGAACCCTACTGCGGGGATGCCCTGTATGTAGATCATTAGGTTTGAAAGGGGAACTTCAGGCCAGTGGCGTCGCTAGGTCGGGTGTCAATACTGTCATCCGGTGCGGTACTTCGTGGTGTCACCCCCCCCCCCTTAAGAAACATAACAAAGTATATATATATATATATATATATATATATATATATATATATATATATATATATATATATATATATATATATATATATATATATATGCCACATAGGGTACATGTATATTTGTAAGCTTTAATCACTGCAGACTTTAAATAACGATGATTATCTAGAGTCTGTACATTTTGTAAATTTTTGCCTTGGTCTCACCCCCCCCCCCCCCTAAATGGTGCCACCCGGTGCGGTCCGCAAAACTCGCTACGCCTCGGCTACCCCCTCCCCCCACCCGTGTGTGACATCATTTATTGACAATCCCCGCTACTACTACTAAATGTTAGGCTCTCTCTGTCAGTTTGTTATACATAAGGTCAGTGGCGTAGCGAGGTCGCGTGTCACCCGGTGCGGCACTTAATGGTGTCACCACCCAGAGGCGTAGCGACCCTTCCCGTGGACAAACTTTCAATTTTCGATTTGCACCCCCCTCCCCCACTCAAACTTTCGATTTGCACCTCTTAAAAGACTATTTAACACTCGAATTAATTAGGCCTACTTAATTAAGTGGAATTATCATTTTTCTCAATAAAATATTTTTCTATTTTTTGCCTTGGTGTCACCCCCCTAAATGGTGTCACCCGGTGCGGTCCGCACCCCCCTCGCTACGCCCCTGCATAAGGTCTATCTAGAGTCAAGATCTAGTTCTTTTTCACTTTTTTTCCAAGTTAGCCAATGATTTTTCCCATCATAAACTGAAAGCATTGCGTTCTAGATCTAGAAGAGCAATCGCAAATCCGGATCAATTTTCTTATTGGTAAATAGACAAACCGTTGCAAGTAGATTTTCTACGATAAACTCTTCAAGCAATAACACGTACACAAACACAACAAGTTAACAACGCCAATAAATTGCTTCCTCGTCGATAGTTTGTATGAGAATTTGTATTCGCACAATGTTTTCCAGATACAGAGGTAGCAGATTTCTCCTAGGATGGACAATTTTAACAGTAGCTGGCATTTTTTACTGTCTTCCCCAAGTATTCACTCATGAAAAAGTGTCTAGGAAATTGCTGATCGTTTCTTTCGATGGATTTCGATGGGATTATTTAAATCGGACCAACACGCCTGTCTTCGATGATATGATAAGTCGTGGAGTTCATGCGACTCGAGGTCTGAAAAACATCTTTACAACATCAACACTGACAAACCACTTTTCAATAGTCACTGGACTGTATGCAGAGAGTCACAGCATCATTGATAATAAAATGTACGACCCTGTTATTAATGCTACATATGTGCCTTTGTATGTAAATAAAAGTTCCATTAACGACCCCAGATTTTACGATACAGGAGTGGAACCAATATGGGTAACAAACCAGCTTCAGAATGAAAATGGACGCAGTGGCAGCATTATGTGGTGGGGTGCGGAAAATGTCATTAAAGGAACTCGCCCAACTTACCATATGCCTTTCGACCTACATGTGGATTATAAAGCTAGAATTAATACTATGGTCCAATGGTTAAGCTCAGGCCCCTATCCTATCAACCTGGGACTCATGTATTTTTCGGAACCCGACCACACAGCTCATGCAACTGGTCCTGATTCGGAAAACGTCACAAGACTAATTGAATATGCTGATCACCTAACTGGGTATCTTTTAGAGCAACTTAAAAAAGTAAATCTACTCGACAACATGAACATTATTATCACAAGTGACCATGGTTTTGCTTCTGTTTCAAAGACTCGTTTAATTAACCTGGATGACTTTGTTGACCCCAGTTTATACACGATTGTTAATTATTCACCAGTTGCTACTATTATACCTAACGAAGGTAATTTTTCTACATAGCTTGAAGAAATTTAAATTAGTAGGCCTATATTTGTGAATAAAAAAATTTCATATGCTAAAATTTAATTTTATATGAGTGGGAAGGCGAAACATATTAACTAACTGATACAAATACAAGTTTTTTAAAAAATAATAGTAAACTTCATACAGTTAATTTGGGAGAAATCGTTTAGCATATTTTTTATAATAATCAGTTAATCAGTAGAATTAAAATGTTTATTTTATGTATGTTTTAGAAATGGTAGTGCACTTAAGTTAGGCCTAACATTAACATTTATTTTTTAAAAATTGGTGGGCCTACTAAAAGATATACTTAAAACAAAGTTACTACCTTTTTTAACTTTGTTACTAAATGAGTCAGTTTTTATTTTACAGGCCAAGAAGACTTTGTGTATGAGAAACTAAAATCTCATTCTGAAAATAATCATTTCAAAGTCTACAAAAAGGCAGACATACCTGAGAGACTGCACTACAAGTACAACATCAGAGTTACACCTATAATTGCCATAGCAGATCTCACATATTCATTTATTTCTAGATTCCCTGTAGAAAACTTCACATTGGGTAAACTGTTTACAATTTTGTAGACCAATTTAAATAATTTACTGTTTTCATAAAATAATTTCAAGTGTAGCCTAGTTGTAAATGTATATTTCATTGCTCACCAAAACTAATTATTCCATGATGAACATCACTGGGTAAAGAGTTTGACCACTCAAGTTAAAGTAGTGTTCTATCTAGAGTTGAGTTCCACCTCACAATCCAATTGAGTTACAGAAAACTTTTTCTGCCTTTGTTGTTATTGGACTGGAGTCTTAAAGTATTTTACTATTCTTACAATAGTTAAGTTTGATGTAGGGATAGTATGCTTGATGATCTATGGTTTGCCTACAAAAAAAATTAGTTTGATAAAAATAATAAACGATTAATAAAACCTCAGCCTTGAAAATTTCTTCTCAAATTCAGCTGGCAACCATGGATATGATAATGAATACCAGGAGATGCGGCCATTCTTCATTGCCATGGGACCAGATTTTAAAAGCAATTTCAAGGTTGAGACCTTCTCTCTAGTGGACATCTATCCTTTGATGTGTCAGTTGCTTGGCCTTGAACCTGCTCCCAATAACGGCAGCAGGCAGACAATGTCGTTACTGCTGCGTGAAGACCATGATGAAGGGGTCTGGACATTTGAGACTTGTAAGTATATAGCTGCTGGTGTAGTTTTAGTTACATTTTACTACTGATTAAATTCTAGTAAAATTATTACATGGCTCTAGTAATTGTAGTATAAAGTAATACATTGCTACTAGTGTAATTCTAAATCTAGCTAAGATATAAGAAGGATATTAGTTGTAATAAGAACATGAATTGTTTTTAAAAGCACTTATTCCAATTGCTTCAAGAAAATGTTCTGCCATGTCTCATTGTCTGTTGGATCTTTCTGTGTCAGGCTCAGCTTATCCCATTAATTAGTGCTAGCTATTAATGATCTGAATTGTACTTTTAGCATTGAAAGGATGATGATAAATAGTTAATAATATTACAATTATAGTTGGAAATGTTTTAATAACAAAAAAAAAATCCTTTTTATATTTAATTATATTATTATGCAATTTAAACATTTCATATTTAATTGTATAATATTCCTTATAATTTTCATGAGAAATTTTATAGAGAATTGGTTTTGGAGGTGAAATATCACTATTAATTCATAAAATAGTGTACTATTCACAAACTTTTTCCCTTTACTATTCCTCAGATGTTCTGTGTTTTGCTGTTGTGGGCAGCACAGGGTTTATATTTTCAATAACAGCTTGCCGCTATATGATCTGTTCAAAGAAAAGTGCCAGACAGACTCAGTCTCACCAGTACCACGGCTCCAGCAAACAGGTGGTGAAGGGGGAGGTACAGGTCCCACTCATGAACGGCACCGATGAGGATGATTTTTAGACTCTTTACTTGTCTGCATTCCCATGTCCATCTCACTGTTAATAACTGTTTAACTACTGGCGGTGCACAACCTTAATAATTTAACATTCCCATGCGAAATATTACTTTAATTTTGTTTTAAAAATTAAAAATAATTTAGAAATGATCAATTCATAAGTCAGGTATACTAGCAGTATTTTCTATCAAATGTGACTCTACAAGGGTTTGGCTTCTTAGTTTTTATAGCTTTTATTTGTAAAGCAATTTTCATTTCTGAATTCAATGGCAAATACTATTGATGAATTGGACCAAACATCCCAGAATAATGATAGTTTTACTGTCAACAGTCTATATTATGATTCTTTTAAAAAAATATATTTAAATACTTTAAAGTTAGATTATTATAATACAAAGTTTCACCACAAATATTGGTGTATATAAAAAAATGGAATTAACTTACATCCCAAGAATTAATATTCTAGGTATCCTCATATTTTCAGACAGATATAGTTTGAGGCACAAAGTAAAGGCCGCCCCCATGTTCAATATATAATTATTTTTCCTATACACAGTCATTGTTTATCATTAATTTTTCATTTTACATCACTATCTGTTATTGAGAAAACTCAACGTTTGACAACAACTAATTTGTGCCTATTGATTCCAGTATTATTTTGAGGTATTTAATAACCAATCTAATTAAATAAGTCACTTAATTTATTACAAAACATGGATATTAGTTGATAGCTAATGTTTTTTACTTCAAAGTAAAACCATCATCAGATTATCAGGTTAATATGAAGGCTATCAAGACTTTTTTTATGAGGATTGTACATTTACTTTTGTTTTCAAGTTTATTCATTGATATGCTTAGTAGAAACACTGAATATATTTACTGAGTTGTTTTTTTTTTTTTGCAGTTTAATTAATTACATAACTTTTTTATTATGTGATGATAAGCAATCAATATGTAATGGTTATGTTTAAGTATCATCATCATCATTTCCCAATTGTGACCAAGACACACGGGTCAGATAAAGTATAGTTCATCTGTTTTGATGACCTCAGCATACAAGGGGATAATGTGGCCAGCACTATGCCCCGCCACCTGGATGGACTTTTGGATTAGCAGTCATGCGCCCTATCCCTATGCTACTCCTTCCTACTTTGTTTAAGTATTGTAATTTGGAATATTCAGACGTTTATTTTTGAAGCTGCTTTTTTAAATCACCGCTTTCCCTTTTGATTTCTAGTATTGTCATGATTTGATTTGAAGAAAATACTTTTATGACTGTGTGCAATAATTTAAATATTGTAACTGGCTTACATATATCTGAAGCAGGTCATCTGTTTTTTTGTGCATTGTCTGCAAGTTGTATAGTAGAGTGAGGAGGACTGCTTAATTACTTAAGAATATTTTTTAATGTGAAACATGCACAGTATTTTTTATTTTATACAAACTAAATTCTATTAAAAACATCCTGCATTATATGCTGTAGCAGCAGAAAAATTGTTTTAAATAATTCACTTGGCCAATTAAAAAAAATGAATTGGCAGATTGATATATTTTTACTGTAAGCTGCTGTTTAAAACATATAATTGCTCTAAAGGAGCATTTCCTTATTTTGTAATTTTAATATCAACACATTGTAAACAACAATATTTATATATATTGAAAAGAGGGCAAAAATTATTTACTTGTCTACAAAAATTAATTCAAAAACTCTGAAGCACTCTTTCTCAACCACTAGATGATTTTGTCACAATTTTTATATTTTAACAATATATTTTTATTTAAATCGAATCTTTCACTTATTTTAACAAAGACAAATTAACAACCTTTTTTATCTACAAATTTGTAACCCACCCAGAATTTGTCCGTTTTATTTCAATAGATGTTTTTAAAATATATATTTTGTAATTGATATTTTGTTTGTTATTCATTTTGAAGAGACCTACATATACATTCCCTCTCCACATATGTGTACCCTTGTATTTATAATTTATCACCATGGTAATTTTTTTATATCTAATAGTTATGTTTTTTACCTGTTTTAATTAATTTGTATTTCATTAATTAAGAGTAATGAAAGATTCTCATCTATAACTATAACCTTATAAAAAGTTTTAAAAACAAACAAAAAATTAAATGCTACAAAGATATTTTTTTTACAAATATGAATATGTTTGCTGCACATTCCAAGTTTAACATTCTGTAGTCTGTGATCAAAGTAGGTATAACCCTACATAAAGTCAATTTTTTAAATTTCATTTTTATTACAATTATAATGTCATTTATTCTTTTTTTTTTTTTTTTTTTCTTAAGGTCCCATTATAAAACCTGGTTGTGTGATTCAACATTTTATTTTCACAATGTGTTTTGCATATATTTTTCTTTGGTTTTTTTATATTTTTGCAGCTGATTTATGGGGTTTATACAGTGTGGTTCACTACAGAGTATGTTTCAATTTTATTTTTTACTGCTCAAATTTTCTTGTTCTACAAAGGTTACTATTTCACATATGTTCAAATCAGAATATTAGTTTAATAAATATTGTTTGATATTTAAACATCATACTTTTTAATTAATTTTATTAAATAAGAGTTATAATATTTTGATTTTGTTTGTAAAAAATATTTATATTGGTGATAATTTTCAAGAGTTACTGTTAATTACTGTTTAACTACTGGCAGTGCACAACCTTAATAATTTTATACATTCCCATGTGAAATATTATTTTAATTTTGTTTTAAATTTCAGAAAATAAACAACAGATTAAGATGTATTCTGTTACTTTCTGTATCACAACATTAGCAAAAATAAATTGCGGTAGCATATTTTTTTTCTGTAAAAAAATGTTACAGAACTAGAATATCTCCATACCCTTACATTGGTGGTTGGCAACATGAATTTAATTAGTAAAGAATGGTGGAATTTTTTCCTATAACACATCTAAGGCGTTATCCTGATTGACCAAATTGTGACACTACATTAATACTACTCAGTAACAAAATGTTATATCTTTTAAAAAGAGTTACATTTATTTTCTCAATAAAATAGTTGAAATTAAATGAAAATTAATTTGCTTAATTATTATACATTCTTCTTATAAATGCACTATTATTGTCAGTGATGGTACGTTAGAAGTTTTATATCAAAACAATATTTGAACATTTAAATGTTAATATTAACTAGGCTAAGTGTCAGGTGCTAGGGCAGTTGATGGTGCCAGATTCATTTGGTGGGCTGAAACTGTATGGACAGGAACTGAGTACAAGGGATGGTGCTAGCAACATTTGGTGGACTGGAACTGTCTAAACAGGAACTCAGCACAAGGGATGGTGCTAGCAACATTTGGTGGGCTGAAACTGTCTAGACAGGAACTGAGTACAAGGGATGGTGCTAGCAACATTTGGTGGACTGGAACTGTCTAGACAGGAACTCAGCACAAGGGATGGTGCTAGCAACATTTGGTGGGCTGAAACTGTCTAGACAGGAACTGAGTACAAGGGATGGTGCTAGCAACATTTGGTTGGATGGAACTGTCTAGACAGGAAATTAGTGCAGAGGATGGTTCTAGCAACATTTGGTGGGCTGGAACTGTCTAGACAGGAACTTAGTGCAGAGGATGGTGCTAGCAACATTTGGTGGACTGGAACTGTCTAGACAGGAACTCAACTTAGGGGATGGTGCTAGCAACATTTGGTGGGCTGGAACTGTCTAGACAGGAACTCAACTTAGGGGATGGTGCTAGCAACATTTGGTTGGATGGAACTGTCTAGACAGGAACTGAGTACAAGGGATGGTGCTAGCAAGATTTGGTAGACTGAAACTGTCTAGACAGGAACTCAGCACAAGGGATGGTGCTAGCAAGATTTGGTAGACTGAAACTGTCTAGACAGGAACTCAGCACAAGGGATGGTGCTCTTCAGCTCTGTGCGACTGACACAGCTGTGTGTCAGTTGCAGGCAGTCACAGTTCGTCAGGTACAGGGTCTGGTTGCCTTCGCAGAGTTCCACCAATGACCCCAGTGTTGCATGAATTAGCTCGGTAGCTAGTATGACCTTAGTATCGTTGAGCTTGCTATGATGAACCTGGGGTGTATCCGCTAGATATTGGAGTTTGTAGAACTCTTCAGAAAAGTTCATTTTATGGACGAAGTAGTTGATACCCTCCTGTTCAGACAGAACACCATCTTTGTCAGCATCTAGTTTAGAAATGTACGCAGCCATTTCGTTTCCGGTGTAAACACCATCTCCATTCGCATCTTTGGCTGCAAACAAGGATAAATAATAATATTTCAATAAACATCGTCCAAAGGATCGTATAAATGAAATAATGCTCATAGTGGAGAGGGGGTTTTGGAATTTCTGGACGAGGGGAAGGACAGAAGGATAAGAAAGTGTAACGAAACATTTTTGCATTTTAAAAAGTTACATTGGAACCGAATTGTAGCCGTTATTTCCAGCTATTGAAGATTTTTTAAAATAACAAGACAAAATGATCCATAATATAAGCCTATTCCATGTTGAATGAAATCAGTAAATATTTTAGAAATGAATCGTTGTTTTCAAAAATAAAAAAAATAAAAATTTTAGTGAAGGGGGTTTAGTGTAGTAGGTTTAGATTGGAGGTCATTTTAGGAGGACGGACGTTTTGTGGGGAGAAGGAGAGGTAAAAAGCGTGAAGTCAAGAATGAATGACCATGAAATATAGGCAAGCTAGACTGTATTAAAATGGTTAGGTATATTTCAATAGTCAGCACTATGTTGTTTTTTTAATTGAAAACTAAACATGAAAATGTGTATTCATCTGGATTTGATAATAAAAATCGAAAGAGGTGTATGAAGTTAGACCAAATCCTTACCTTTCACATATCCTAGCAAACTAAACATGAAAATGTGTATTCATCTGGATTTGATAATAAAATCGAGAGAGGTGTATAAAGTCAGACCAAATCCTTACCTTTTACATATCCTAGCAGACGATCGCTCAGCTGACCTTTACCTTGGCAGACACTTCCTCTAGACGACGACAGTTGCAAGAGAGTCTGGCCCAGACCTCGTATAGGGCCTTGAAATCTGACATTTGGTCTTCCATAGACCCCAACACCTAGCAGTATCACTAGCACTATGTACATGGCCTGAAAATATATGCACACTGTCATGCTCTGGTATAGGTGTATTTTGTATCTTCACAAGACAAAGCCAACACTTTAGTATCACAAATAGCAATACACCTTAGTTACATATATAACAATACACCTTAATACTACAAATAGCAATACATCTAAGCATCACAAATAGCAATACACATTAATACCACACATTGCAATCCACCTTAGTACCACAAATAGCAATACACGTTATATCCACAAATAGCAATATACATTATTTTCACAAATAGAAATACACCTTAGTATAACAAATAGCAATTCACCTTAGTACCACAAAATAGCAATATACTTCGGCACCGCAAATAGCAATACAGCAAATAGCAATACACCTTATTTCCACAAATAGCAATACACATTAGTTGCATATATAGCAATACACCTTATTTCCACAAATAGCAATACACATTAGTTACATATATAGCAATACACCTTATTTCCACAAATAGCAATACACATTAGTTGCATATATAGCAATACACCTTATTTCCACAAATAGCAATACACATTAGTTACATATATAGCAATACACCTTATTTCCACAAATAGCAATACACATTAGTTACATATATAGCAATACACCTTATTTCCACAAATAGCAATACACATTAGTTACATATATAGCAATACACCTTATGACCACAAATAGCATTACCACAAATAGCAGTACACCTTAACACTACAAATAGCAATACACCTTAGTACCACAAATAGCAATCCACCTTATTTTCACAAATCGAAATCGACCTCAGTAACACAATTAGCAATTCACCTTAGTATCACAAACAGCAATACATCTTAATATCACAAATAGCAATACACGTTATTTCCACAAATATAAATACAACTTAGTATCACAAATAGCAATTCACCTTAGTACCATAAAATAACAATACAATTTGACACCACACACAGCAATACACGTTATTACCACAAATAGAAATACTGCAAATAGCAACACACCTTAGCACCGCAAACAACGAACACTTTAGCACCCAAGTCACGCTCTCCCACCAGGGTAGGATGGACTGACAAACACTCGTACACCTGACGACACAATTCACACGCCCCCGGCCTAGATAAGTGGGCTTATGTCTGCATTACAGCCTCGATCGTGAGAACTGTTTACTTTTGAGCAAAGGTTCCCATAAGAAATTACTTGCCCAACTCACTAATTTTTACAGTGGGTTCTTTTATTTCATAGATCACGTTCAACTCCACCTGTATTCGCTGGTCGAGTACAAAGTCAAATACTACGAGGAAGATGATAAGTCTATAATCAACAGCCCTCTCCAGAGGCGAAATGAGGGGGGACGGGGGGTGCGGACCGCACCGGGTGACACCATTTAGGGGGGGGGGGGTGACACCAAGGCAAAAAATAGCAAAATATATAGAGAAAAACTTGAGGGAGGGGTGGAAATCGAATGTTTGAGGGGGGGGGGGGGGTGTGCAAATCGAAAACTTGAGGGGGGGGGGGGGGGTGGTGGGGTGCAAATTGAAAGTTTGAGCGGGGGGGGGGGTGCAAATCGAAAATTTGAAAGTTTGTCCCCGGGAAGGGTCGCTACGCCTCTGGGGGAGGGGGGGGGGGGGGGTGACACCATTAAGTGCCGCACTTGGTGACACCCGACCTCGCTACGCCACTGGCCCTCTCATTACGCCCATAAGCGATTCGCTCCTAGTAAGTAGCGTCAAAAAGGTCTACTTGAATAAAGCACGGCCCAAAGTACAGGTCTAGTATGGATATCGCATAGGCCTACATTTACATAAATCTCCTAGAAGTAAATCTTCTAGGGGAAGGCGTAAGTGGGGGTCGTCCATAAATGATGCCACACTCGTAGGATGGAGGGGAGGGGGGGGGTGTTCTTAAATTTTGTGACGGAGTGAGATGAGAGGGAGGGGGGGGGGGGTGTTCAGATGGTGTGACGCCACGCTTTTGCATTATAAAAAGGTAATGGTAGAAAACGAATTTTAGCCTTTATTTCGCGTTTTAGAAAGTTATTTCAGAAATCAATTGGTGGACGGCCCCTAAAATAAAAAGGAGAGTAGCTTTAAAAAAATTATTACCTATGTAAACAAAAACAAATTAAGGAGACAGTGTTAAAAGGTGGAAAGGCTAGTGGGTGGTCTTCCCTAAGCTCTCTAAGCTACATAGTTAATATAAGAAGGTGGAGACGTAATGATTCTCAATCACTAAATACCAACCGGATGCTAATTCTATGCATTAAGCCTTTTATTCAAATTTGGTACAGGCATTACATGTAGATAGGGGACTATAACCCTGTAACCTTCTTCAAATACCATTTAGCGGCGGACATCCTACATCCTATGGTGTAGGATATGAGTATAATATTTCTTTCAGGCATCTCTTTGCTAGCGAAATATAAAATATATAGAAAATATAAACTTTTACGGGTATGTGTCTCTCCCCCCCCCCCCCCCCCCCCCCCTCCCGGGCCGGAGAAAGAAGGTCTGAAAGAAACATTGTATGAGTAACATGTTTATAGTGGTTCCCGTTCAAATATCCTTGTAGACTTCTATGACTGCTGGAGATACTGTTAAAGAGGTTTCGACTAGACTGTATTATATAATACAAATGTGCTTTAATGGCTTTAACTGTTTTATTTTTCTAACAGTTTTACACTGAATTTGCTAAGAATGTGTGTTACAGCGGTTCGTGCAAGATAGATATAACTCGCCCTGTGAGCCCTATAATCGACAGATGCTTAGGGGTCATCCATAAATGACGTCACACTCGTAAAGAGGTGGTGTGTCCGTAATTTTGTGACGGTGTGTAATGAGGAGAGGGGGGGGGGGGGTCAGATGGTATGACGTTACACTTTTGCAAAATATAAAAGCAATGTTAGAAAACGAATTGTAGCCGTTATTTTGCGTTGTAGAAAACCGTTTCAATAAATTGTAATAGGAATCGAATACTCTATGCTGACAGAGTTCAGACAAGATTTTGGAAAAATCTCAATGTTTAAGAAAAATTCAACTGCGATTTCGAGGGGGGGGGGGGTTATTTAGCGCCCTAGGCAAAACTTATTAAAACGCCCCCTTTCACACAAATTAATTACTAAAACATGTATAAGGAAATAATTAATTAAAAGTGACATATTAATTTATTATCAATTGCATACACGTTATAAGTAGACACCAAAATCAAATTTTACTTGCCTCCTTCGTCTCAAAAGTTTGTACTAATTCCTTCAATTCCAGTTTGGAAGCGTAATCACATTTTATTGAAATTGTTGCCAAGTCCACAAGTCTACTTTATACTTTACGACATAGCCCCCCCCCCCACCCCTTTGAAAATCTTTAAGTGTTCCCCCCCCCAGATACGTAGCGACCCTTCCCGGCGCCCGGGGACAAACTTTTCGATTTGCACCCCCCTTCAAGATTTCGATTTGCACCCCCCCCCCCCTCGAGATTTCGATTTGCACCCCCCTCAACCTTTCAATTTATTTTTCCAACCCATTTTGGCGCCCCCTATGGTCGGCGCCCGGGGACATATGTCCCCCACCCCACCCCCACCCCCCCACCCCCTTCGCTATGCTACTAAAAAAAACATTGAAAAAAAAGTTCTTGTAGTGTTGGGCTCTCTGCAGTCCTCCCAAGCTGAGTCCCGAAACGGAACTTACCTGTTTTAAGCTTGGCTGTCTTTAGTTATAATTGTAAAATGTCTACATTGTGCGATTAAGTAACGATTTTTTTTAAAATAAAAGGTTATAAATATAAATGTTATAGATTCCAGTCTAAAATTTTTATATATGAATCCTTTAGGAGAGGGTGACAAATATGAAAAGACAATTAATTAGATGTTTAATTTGCGACTAAGACATTAAGTATTGCAATCTACAACGGCTACTGATGTATTTGTTTTTCAACTTGATAATGCTAAAAAAAAAACATACCAAACTATTTTGTTTAGAACTTCTGCTCTATATAATTGTTACAATAGCAAATAATAACTTAAAGTTGTATTTATATGTAAGCGGTCAACCTGAGGCGCAGGAATTTGAAATGAATGTAAAGATAAGCAATAAATTATCTCCCATTTGAAAATACAAATACCTAAATTTTATTCAAGGGAAATAACTTTCACAAGAATGACTAAATTAACCAAGTGTAACTAAGTCATGACTGAAAAACACAATTAAAAGATCTAAAAAAAATGTACGTAATAATTATAAAAAAATATTTTATTTTAGCTACATAACCTTGTAAAAGCAATATATTATACTTATTGACTAAAATATAGGTTTTGTTTGAAAGTCTAAAAACGGGAACTTTATTATAACATACGTCTATTCATTTTGATGACATTACTTTAAATGTCGGGTGTTATTATTAGCTAAAATAAAAATTTTGGATCCCTAAAATAAAGGGACGTCTTTCAAAAGATCAAACACGGGTAACTGTTTTAGACATTGATAGAATTATTGATACATTTTTTTGAAATTATTATTTGAAAATACAAAGTTTACAGTTAGTTATAAATTCCATCCTATTTAATATTATATATTAATACTTTAGAGTGATAACATAGATTCCTAAAAAACTAAAGATTTTTCAAATAGAGAACGCATACCTTTCTCATGGGTTCCGTGCTGAATTGAAATCATCTAACTTACGATAAACTCGACTACTTGATATACTCTACTACATTCACAACACACATTAAACTTCGATACCTAAACATAACTAGACTCGATGCTCCAGAACTATGACACCAACTCGCTTAACTTTACCAAGCTCTACAAACAATACTCCAAATCAACAACGATTTCACTGGACCTACTACTACACTTCAACAGTCAATATAATTCGATACTTTAATACCACAAGAATCAATCATCCCGAACTCCAGCAGTACGATACTTCATCACCTGCATTCTCATTTCTCTATTACCAAACAGATTCCACTTCAACTACAAAACAGCCGAATAAAAATTATGACACTTTAACACTTCAATACTTTATACCTACGAAACCATATCAGCAACAGCATCCCGCCGTTACTCCCAAATCTAAACGATTCATCAAAATTTACCTACAAGTACAATAGTTTGAACACCCCGTCAATACAAAACTTTCTACACCAGGACAGATTTCTAATTCAAAGTCAGAGACTTACAAGACTTACAAGCCCTATTAAAATTAGATAACCGTTTGAAATGTTCGAAATGTAAACTACGAACTTATTTAATCGTTTTCTACATCACTTACATGACACCAAATTAAAAAAGCAATGTGACTGGTGTCATAGTGTACATATATAGAATTAGACTAGACTAGCAGAGGTTACTAAGGACGGTGCGAATTTGACGGTAGACGATTTGGTGCGAGAGTATTGTGCGCGTGTTCAATAAAATATTTGTAGCGTGAGTGTGACGTGAGCATGACGCGACAATGTACCAATGACGTAAGAAGCAGCAGTGAAGTGTAGTTAGGTTAGGTTAGCCATAGTAGAAGACGGACGTATTCTTTGATATTGTGTAAACGTTATATAAGTGTGTGTGTTAATAAAGTTATTGTTATTTCATAAACGAAGTTGTTGACATTGTTAATTAGTGTCTGCGGAAAATAAGAGTGATTCCCGTCCTCCTTCACAAGGGTAATAGTTGCGGTGTTAATAGCAGTATTCAGAATATAGATACATAGACCAAAACGTATAGAGATTATATATAACCCCCCCCCCCCCATCAAAACTGGTAAAAAGCGCCCTGACCTTTCCAAATTAGGGAGGTGGAATTACATTTTCACCAACGCAAATAAATGTAGGCCTATATAGACCTAATTTTGGGGTGGGGCGCAAAATTGATAGTTCGTTCTTGGTGCCGAAATAGATCGCTACTCCTTTATAAAAGTTATTAATTATTAGCAGTGGCGTAGCGAGGTCGGGTGTCACCCGGTGCGGCACTTAATGGTGTCACCCCCCAGAGGCGTAGCGACCCTTCCCGGGGACAAACTTTCAAACTTTCGATTTGCACCACCCCCCCCCCCCCCCCCCCCGAAACTTTCTATTTGCACCCCCCCCCCCCCTCAAACTTTTGATTTGCACCCCCTCAAACTGTCGATTTGCACCCCACCCTCAAGTTTTTCTCTATATATTTTGCTATTTTTTGCCTTGGTGTCACCCCCCTAAATGGTGTCACCCGGGGCGGTCCGCACCCCCGGCCCCCCCCCCCTCGCTACGCCTCTGATTATTAGGTACTTTTTGATAATAGCGATTAAACATTTTGTGTAAAAATCGTCAAAAAAAGCGTGACGTCATTTATGGATGACCCCTAAAGCATAATATTAGAACATATGTGTTAGAAATGCCTGGACATTTAAGAAGAAAGAAAAACAGGAAATTATATTTACACATAAGATTGACCGTACGTGCAGACTTACTTAGCATAGTTTACCCCGTCACACACCAGTGGCGTTCCTAGGGCGGGTGTTACCCTGCGGGTATAACCCCCCCCGCCCCCCTTACTTGAAGCATTTTGTATTTTCAGTTTAGTGTCACGCCTCTCCCTACTATTTCACTATTTTAACTAGATAAAACATTGTTTTAACAGTAATGCTGTCACCCTCTAAATGGTGGCACACAGGCCGCCACCGCCTTGTGACGCTACTGACACAAACAATAATCATTGAAACACTCGGCAGTGACACGCTGGTAAAACATCTACTCGAAAATTGGTAGTACATGTTTAATTTTGTTTAAAGAATTTCAAAATGAAAACAATTCTATATAAAAAAAAAAGACAACACACCCAAAAATATTCCTTCATCATAGAGCGTTCAGATCTCATGAATTACATATCCAGGTAATTACTGAGAACCTCATACTTCCAACATATATATATATATATATATATATATATATATATATATATATATATATATATATATATATATATATATATCACTCACCATATTACTAAAATATCGTGAAGTTAAGTTGAAATTCCAACTTATCTGCTTAATTTTATCGGACGCCTTATAAAATTACTAACTTCGCGCGTAAAAATACTAGATCTACATCTAGAAAATAACACTTAGGTCAGAAATATTAATTAATAAATAAAATTAATTTAAACTCAGAAGACCCTACCATTGCGTGGATTGCCTTCTCCGCTTCTCGTTAACTGCGTACCGACCTAAGTGAAAACGCCCGCTAATCCGATGTTGAACTAACCTTATAATTCTAATGTTGGTGTACGATCACAGTGAACCCAAAAGAGGTAATTTTACGCTTGGGCACGGTTCTAAGATAAACAAGAATGTCTTAAATGATGAATGAGCCAGATTTTTCTCACCGTCCCACTAGACTTCGCCAACATTACACCCGCGTTTACACTTACGACATGTAGGCCTATACTTTACACGTCTAGAGAAAAACAGTGTTTCTTCCAGACTTTTTTCTCCCGGGGGGGCACTTGAAATTTTCGGGGGGGGGGGGGGGGGCGGTAGACTTTCTTCGGGGGGGGGGGGGGGCGGACACTGTTAAAAGTATATATTTTCTATATAAATTATATAAATTTCATTTCGTTCGGGGGGGGGGGGGGGGGGTTGGGCACCCCGAAGAAATGCCTGGAAGAAACTCTGGAGAAAATAACGGCTAAGCCATTAAGTTAATATTATCAGATAATGTAGGGAGGGGGGTCTTCTCACTAATTGCGAAGGTGTTTTTTTTTTCTAGACATGAATATATAAAGATAAATTAACTAGCCTTATCTTTTAACCAAAATACTTACAGATTTAAGAAATCGCACGATTTCCTTTGAATCGCTGGCTATAATGATTCTTATAAACGAGTGCTTTATAGAAGGTTGATATGTTTACTTAGTTATTTATACATTCGACACGGTGTTGTTCTTATGTCAACAGAGGTGTGAGTTCCCTGCTAATGACGCAGTTGCCACGCTCAAGTTGCCCCAGGTCGAGAGCTAAAGATGATCTTGAAGCACGTTACGAGTGCCGCAGTGTTTTTACATGGGTGTGTGAAATTTGTCGACCACTGGCAGTGGCGTGAGAAGGAGTTTGTCAAGGGAAGGGTGTTAAAAATCTTTTTCCATAAGGATGTACGTAGATATGTATACATAAAGACTATATATATAAATATATCTTTATATCTGTATCTATGTACATTTATCTATCTGCCTGTCTGTTTGTTCGTCCATCCATCCATACATCTCTATATCAATATAATGTATATGTAATATATATATATATATATATATATATATATATATATATATATATATATATATATATATATATATATATATATATACATATTATATATTATACATATACATATTCCATAATGACCTTAAGAATTGAGCATTTATGAATTCAAAATTTTTACATTGTATAGACTTCAGATTGAAGGGGAAACAATAGCTGTAATTTAAGTCAGTCTTCAGTTTAGGGGTCAATAAAAGCAGTGAGTACTTCCAGACAATTTTCATCGGGGGCGGGGTAGTGCGCACCTACAATTTCCGTGGTGGGTGCGTGAGACGGATACTGGTTAGAGTATATATTTTTTTATACAAATTATGTTTCCATTTCAGCGCCACCCCCCCCCCCCCCCCCCCCCCCCTCCGAAGAGATAATGAAAGAAACTGCATGAAAGTGGTGGTTAGTTACATACAATCATGTTCAGACTAGTATATAACACGATATTTGACGTCCGACCCGAACAACCCATACACGATTATATATAACAGGATATTTGATTTCTGACGCACCGGCCCATGCAACATAACATACGTATTCCATAGACCATTACAACTTTGGTTTGGTTGCTAGCCCAAAGGTCACGAGTTCGGACCAGTGACTGTAGGATGTTGCCCCAGATCTAATGGGTACCTAGCTTGCATAGAGTAGCTGAAGTAGAGTTCATCTATTTAAATAAACTTGGCATACAGGGGGATAGTGTGGTCTGCATAATGGCTCACTGCTTATGTTTCCATAAATAACGCCCTAACGTGAGTCTTCCCTATCTCAATAATAAAACAAATCGATACCCCCTTCCCTCCCCCCAAACTCTTAGTTGCGTTGCAATTTTCAACAGCCCAAAATGACTGCCATAGTCATTTATATTACCTCCCAGGAAATAGGTTCACTCAAAAATAGGAGAAATAACCAATTTACACGTTTAAGTGTTAGACTCAAAGTAGGACAGCTATACAAATCACCAATTCAAATTCTGCTCACAATGAAATACTAAAATAAGTATGAAGTCTATTTTACTTAAAGGATACACAAACAAGCTAACAAACTACCACAAACAAAAAGGTAACTGGTTTAATAGTTTAATTCATAAACTGTCTATGTCATTACATGACACTAAAGTCAATATAACATCTTGTTTATCAACACAATAAACAGTCACACAATTAAATTTTACAACCTTCTCTATTACAGCTCGCCTTAATTAACTAACCAGGAACTTGAACTTAAAACCTCACATCATTTGATTAAGTAATATCTTCATAACCTCATTATTATTCTAATACAATTTATACAAATTTTTTTATGAATATAACGAGCCGACTTTCTTTGAGGGGTCTGTTTGGACATCAGGAGTACCAGGGTTAGGCTCTGGTAAAGGGAGAGGGACTGGTGTGGGCTTGGGCCGGTCAGTTTTGTGGAGCCTAACTTTAGTGAAGTAGCCTAACTCAGGTCTCTCCTGTCCAAGATTTTCTTTCACACAGTCATCAAAAACAGCTTGTGTCTTGCGGCAACTGAGAAGAGAAATTTTGTTGATTAAAAAGTTTGAATAATAAACAAGAAAACAGTATTATTATCTACAGCCTGTGCCAACTGAAGGAGAAATATTTGTAGATTAAAAAGTTTGAATAATAAACAAGAAAACAATATAATCATCTTCAACCTGAGTCAACTGAAAGAGAAATATTTGCTGATTATATCTATGACTTCTTTTCCCTAGCGAGGCAATGCATTGCACCTAGTGATCAAGATATTATCTTTTGGTGCAGGCTGTTGTGGTTGATCATGCCAATTCTTCCTCATCAGGATATCAAATGAAGAGATTGTGGGTTACACATGCTTTATGATGCCTCTCTAGACCTTGCTGGTTTAGTCATAAGAAATGCTAGGCAATTTGTTATTAAATAACTAGTATAAAAAGCCTCAAGGAAAAAGATAGCAAGGAGGGCCAAGAGAGACGTGGAGGCACACAGCAGTGGCAGGGCTATCTTGGGGGACTGTCAAGAAAAATGCCTGTGACTGAGAAAAGTGGAGGGAGCTCTCTGTGGCCACCCCATATGTATTGGGCACAAAAAGTAAAAGATGATGATAAACAAAAATACAGTTAAGCTGATCTACAGTCTGAGTCTTGCTGCACCTAAACTGAAATAGTACTTAAATTGTCAACAAATGAGTTCATTCAGAAATTACAGCACTTACTAGAGTTAATAGCCAGCTTAAAATTTCAAGAAAAGTTTTAAAATAAATTTTTGACAAACAAAATGCAATTACAAATTTCCTAATCAGATTAAAACACACAAAAGGTGCCAAAAGATCAGATGATATGCAGTATGTAGGTAACTGCATGTACAGATGACAACACAAACCTGCTTTTTAAAAACATAAGGTATCTTTTAAACAAACAAGCCTACTTTTTAAAAACATAACTTATCCTTTTAAACAAACAAACCTACTTTTTAAAAACACAACTTATCCTTTTAAACAAACAAACCTACTTTTTAAACTCCATCATATGTCCAGAATGGTCAATACACTGCATGTACTGGCTGAACTCAGCATAACAAGACTTCTTAATGCTTTGGAAAAAATCAAATGCACATCTTGTCACTTCTTTTCCTTCATTCAAACATTTTCTTGGGTCTTTTTCCTCTGCTTTACACAGCATGAATTCCTGGGAAAGGATAAAATTTCCGTCTATTTTAATATTTCCTAGACACACAGTTTCAAGTGTACTAATCTTGTAGTAAACCAACCAAACTAAACTTAGAAGAAGGTAGTAAGATGTAGATTCTAGATGATAAATATATGTTGGACAAAAGGCTGACATTGGAGTAGGACAAACTGAAAGTGACTACAGAAGAGGTAAATAAATATGGGTAACTATAGTAGAAAATAGGCGTAATAACAAACAAATAATAAGATCAGACTATAAAATATAGCTTGCCTTTAAGATCTTTAACATATTTTAACAACATTTATTATAAGTTTGTTTAAATTTTTTTCTCAATACATTAAAAATTTTCTCAAATGGAAACCTTTCCTGGATTATTCTCTTTCATTTTTAAATATATAGATTAGGCCTATAATGCTCTAATGGTGACAGGACAAATGATCTCAGGACAAATGATCTCAGACAAAATATCTCAGACAAAATATCTCAGACAAAATATCTCACGGACAAATGATCTCAGGACAAAAGATCTCACGGACAAAAAATACCAGGACAAAATATATCAGGACAAAAGATATCATGGACAAATGATCTCAGACAAAATATCTCAGACAAAATATCTCACAGCAAAATTTTAATAGTGTATTTGATAGTTGATGTGACATTTTTTATAGACTTTCATACGGTTTTGTTTACTATGTTAAATATTGTTTACGAGCCGGCCCGCGGCATAACATACGCCGCTATTTAGTTGTTTCTAATTTTCAATAATTCATAATTTGTGAATTCGACAGTACCAACGCTGACACTGAAAATATTTCTTTAAAACACTATAAATAGCTCGTTAATTAAGGACCATAACCCCCCCCCCCTTCCTTCCCCCCCCCCCCCCTCCTCCCCCCCCCCCTACGTTTAAAATCGTTGGCTCTGCTTGTAAACATTTAGAGTGAACACAGCTCACTAAAACCATGTAGGGGTGGGGAGGTAGGGAGAGCGTTTGCAGCTTGTTTTCTAACGGCTCGAAGAAGAGAATTATATATATAGATAGGCCTATATACATTTGTCATATTGCACTAAATATTTTAAAATTGAGATTACTAATACAGATCTAGTATTCGAGGTTAAAGAAATGTTTCAATAGACAGCCTAGGTGGGCTTGCCAAAAATGAGACAATCCTACCATGAAATAACAATAAAGACACTCATTCGTATCAAGGTGGCCGCCTGCTTTGATGGCAGAGACATGCCTTAAGGGAAAGACATCCGCCCTCCATGGACAATACAACTAGCATCAACAGTCAATAGTTCTGTGTCGGTCACACCTTAGTGATCAGATGACCAATGCTTATTTAAACGACAGCAATCATCGCGGAGCTAAGTGTGTGTAGTGTGCATGCAAACAAAGCAGTATTAGTGGTGATTACTCAGCTATGGCCTCTTTTGTAATCTGGTGAATTTATAAAAACCATAAGTGGAGCAGCAGGCAAAGAGATTTGGAAATATGCAGTTAGAAAATGTCGCGCAAGAGTTCACATAGTATTGGAGAGGTGTGATCATACCTGCCAGCAAAGAAACGTAAACGTTATGCTTGTGTTGGTGATCTAATAAAAACAATAGTTTTACGTTATGAAAATGAAGACCCATTCACATTTTTTAAAAATATTCGCGTGTTTTTGAACATTAATGTTGTATAGCTACCGTTACTTTATTTGTTTATTATACCTTTCAGGCTAAAGGAGTAATTTTGTTTTAATTTTACTTTTTCAAATCAAATGCTATTACAAAGGTTAAGTTTAATAAATCTTTTGATGCTTTGTTTAGCTTAACAAATTCACTGTATTCACAATTTTCTTCATAAAAAAGTAAACAAAACCATATTGACAGTCAATTAAAAAAAAAGTTCAATTCAACTAAAATCATCGTACATACTATTAAAATTTTGCTGTGAGATATTTTGTCTGAGATATTTTGTCTGAGATCATTTGTCCATGATATCATTTGTCCTGATATATTTTGTCCTGGTATCTTTTGTCCGTAAGATCATTTGTCCTTGAGATCATTTGTCTTAAGATCATTTGTCCTGAGATCATTTGTCCGTGAGATATTTTGTCTGAGATATTTTGTCTGAGATCATTTGTCCTGAGATCATTTGTCATGGAACCGCTCTAATATAATGTTAATGTATATTTTAAAATGTAGTGAAGACTTCTAAGGTATATAATAAAACATGGTTGATCATTACTGAAGAAAGGTCTCATTGAGCCAACTGTTGAGCTCAATATAAAATCCATTTTACACAAACTGTTTTGTCATTATCATCCAAGATTTATATAGTCTTTGCATTAAAATTATAATTACTTATGATACACACACAGCCAACTTTTCATTCCATCAGAGTGATTGGACCATCGCCTAAATTTACAGATGAGGCCAAAACATTCGCTATATATTTGTTCAACATGCTGAGTATAAGGGAGAGGGAGAAAAAGTAAGAAATAAAGTCTCAGTGTGCATACAATTAAAATAAAATCTTTTGCATGAGAAGCTAAAACGGTTTGAAAATAGAAAATTAAATTTCCCACTCTGTACTACGCTAATTCTAATCACTAAATAAATCATTACCTTGAAGAATATTTTGCTAAATATTAATGATCAAGAGCGAATTAAGCCCCCCCCCCCCCCCCATTGTGTTACACGGTTAGCTGAGTCAACATAACACTCCATTAAAGTTAATCAGCTATAACAGCTTTAGCAACGTAGCCATTTAATGACAATGTTTTTCAAAATGCAATTCTAGATAAAGGTAAATAAAAGTAGCTTTTAACTGTTTAAGTCATTTAAAACAATAATAAACTTTAAAATCATAGGTGACACCCTTCTAATGCACATACTTTACAATACAAAAAGGTTAGATTAAGAAATAATTTAAAATGTAGTGAGACACTAAGACAGTACGGCTAGAATATATTCTTGACTAGCTGACTCTGTTTACTTTTGTATTAGCCGCTACTATAACATCCTTACTTTTTCCTTTCAAATACTTATAGGTCAAACAAGATAACTGCAAAGTTGTAAATAAGAATGATACAGAGTCAAATAGCGAGACATAAATTGCAAGACATTTTTTAATTGTATCGTCTAAGTAATTTTTTTTAGAATCACGAGAAAAAAATCTATTAATAAGTAGGCATAATAGTGTTTTTAAAAAAAATCTTATCTTGATCTAGATGTTTTTAAAAAATATTTAATGTTATTAAAAAAAAACCTAATTCTAAATATCGTCAACTGTGAGATTGCCAGCTCACTAGTTCTTGTAAGTGGTAGAGAAATCTTGATATGGTCAAGGGACTGCTATTTGAAATAGTCACTGACATCTCTTTTGAGGTCACTGTGAGTTTACTTAATTATATTACCAAGATACATGTAACAATACAAACTTGACCACCTTGACATGTTTGACCCATAATAACATAAATCTAAACAAGAGTAAAAACAACTGCTCCATCTAAATTTCTAAACAGTGCATATTTATTTGGGTATAGGTCCTATGGCGTTTGGATTTTTCTTGTTTTGACAAAATTCTAAAAAATAAAATTAGTAGGCTATTAAATCTATATTCTATGAACATAAAAAGAAAGAAATAGCTCAGTGTGGTGTATTCCCATTGTTTGTTTTTTTGTGAGTTTCAGTTGTGTTTTAACCCTCTTAAGATGTAGCTTTATCGGAGAGAATACACAGCTTACTTTTAAGTATTGTACTTGTAGAACAAAATTTTTTGAAAAAATAAACTGATTATTTTACATAGAGCCTTTTAGGAAAATTTAATGAGCTAATGATTTTTATAAATCTAATAAAAATTTCAACATAATTATATACAAGTGAGCTTCCTGATTTGCATAATTTACGCCTGAAAAAAAATATGACTAAACTAAATTACAGTAAATGTTATATAAACATGTTTTTTCTCTCTCTGTAATGCTAATCTAAATACCAACACTAATTTGCTGATTATTAGAAATTCTAAGTATATTTTGAGTATATTTTGATGACTGTACTGTTTGACATGTGAAAATTTACGAAAGAAATGTTACTCATTAAATTTGAGTAATTATTTATGTTTTAAAAGTTACAAAAATGTTTCAAAGATTCATTCATGTACCTGTTTTTAAACAATTTTATTACATTTTTCTATAATAAGTAAAAAATTAGCAATCTTTTCATCAGATGCAACCAAGCTTATTTACTTCAGCAGCCATCTTGTTTGAGTTTTTTTGGCGGTAAAATTATAGTTAGAAATTCAGGGAAACTGTTATAATTTACAGATGGCTGCTGTTTATATAGCAAATTTGCAATCAAACACTTGTTTAAAGTTAATTTCTGTACTACATTAATCTATTTAGACATTGATTTTGGTTTATTTATAAATTATTTATTATATTTGACACAAATATATCACAATATACATGTATTAAAACAGTAAAATCATGGCGTAGTCTGTCGAGCCGTTCCGGAAATACTGTAAACCATTATTTATTTGCCGCCATATTATTTTTAATACATAATGGCGAGGCGGGAAAATGCGAGAAGGTAATGCGGGACATACCTGCGGAATCAAAGGTAAATAGCGAAACACCTGTTGCGAAAAAAAGTTTTTATCATACTTTTTTCATCTATTTATTTAAAAAAAATTTTTTTAGTTTTAAAACAAACAAGCATGTAGTCATAACCTTTAACACGAGTGTTGTATGTTGTTATTTTTTATCTAGATTTTATTATATATATAGATAGATACTAAGAAGATAGATAGATCTATATCTAGATCTATCTATTAAAAAAATCCTAACATCGTTGCTGTGCTACTGTCATCGCCTGCTCTCGTTAGCGAGAGGAAAATGCCGTCTCAGTCGACATTAATTTTAAAAATCTAGCCCGCTCATGTTTTTACAAACGTGAGCTGTGTCAATGTGAATTGGTATAATCTTGTCAGCAGCAGATATATTCTGTAATATGTATTCATGGAACTGTTGTACTTGCAAAAAGTGTAAAAGTATAAACAATTCTAAAAAGTGTAATTTATTTTTTATTAAATAATTTTAATTACTAACAAAATTTACAAACAAAATCTTCTGAAACAGTCCTAACACTACTCAAACACACCTCGTCACACCATCTTTCACACATAGTACATCCAACCCAGTTCAATTAGACTCCCATTTATACTGTGCTAACACAGAACACGAATATGAACAGAATTTTTAAAAAATGCGCGTTTGTAGATAATCTGAATAAAGTCCGCTATCGACAAAACTACCATTTTTTTTTGACGATTTTTACCCCCCCCCTCCCCTCCGTCACACATTTTCACATAAATCCAGACCCCCCCCCCCCCCACTAAAATATGACGTCACACCCTCAGCCTACAACCCCCATCAAAATTGCAGTTGAATTTTTTTTTTAAACATCGACATTTTTTCCAAAATCTTGGCTGTACTCTGTCAAAATAGAGTATTTTAATCAATTCCTATTACAATTTATTAAAACAGTTTTCTAAAACGCGAAATAACGTCTAAAATTCTTTTTCTAACATTGCTTTTTTATAGTGTTACGTCACAACATCTAACCCCCCCCCCCCCCCACTCATCACACATTTCTATGCAACAATACAAAATATGTTTGCGGCGGCAGCGGATTCGGTGAACTTCAAAGACGGTAAATCAGGTGGCCTCGGCGTTCCACACAAAAGAACGAAGTTGATCTATCGTCGGCGGTATTTCCGTTGGTTTCGAACAAGGTGGTATTCTAAGTCGACACAAAAGATGGGGGGAGTTGACAAATCATCAGTATGTCTAGCGACGGAAAAATCGGAAATTTTAACAATGTAAACGAAACGTCTTTGAAGTCTGGACCAAATAACACTGAAAGACGGGTGCGGTAAATTTTTCGCAGAAATCTTCGCATTTCAACACCACCCAGCGTAAGTATCAGGTTGTGGTAAAATGCAAAACAAAAAGTCACGTGACCGACAGTTTTCGCGGCCTTCTCGCATTTTCCCGCCTCGCCATTTCCCTTATCGCGTCTCACAATTTCCCCACACCCCATAATGTTTTAAAATGTGCAAGGATTGATTTTAGTTGCATTTTAAATACTGTTTTGCTAATTAATTTGTATTCCTAATTATTTTAAGTGTATGTGCTAATTATTGCTGGTATTAAACATTGTTCTAGTACGTCTTACTACTTTTAATCTTAACTTTAGTAAGTCTAATAGTCTTATTTTACTAACAGAACTAGATCTAGATCTAGCTAGAGTTAGATCTAGAGGAGCTTACACTTTTCGGACACACATAGCGAAAAAAACGCAACGTAAAAATTCCATGCGGTCTCATTCAGTAACCGCTTAACATAGAAAACAAAAAAAAGTATCATATCTATCCGCAACCATTCTACTTTAATAATGTGTGTGTCATTTTGTATTCATACGCATAGAACTTAAGCTATTCTTGTTATAGTGACTGGGGGGTCTTAACGTGTGTTCGAACACATGTAATACAGTTTTACATGTGTTCGGACACCTTTACCCGTCATCGGACATAGCACTTTTTGTTCATTTAGAATAATTTAAAGTCAATTTAATGAATAAAAACATATATTATATGCATTTATATTGTGTTATTGATTGTTTGTGAGGTAATTTTAATAGTATAAAACCTTTTTCCCACACTCCCAAAGTTCATCCCATTCAGCCATTGCGGCTCGCGCAGTACGCTGCTAAGCCAGCCAGGTCACATGATTCCCCCTCCTCTTTCGCATTCCACTGCCTTCTTGACCTTATTTTGACCCTTTCCCTTCAATAACCAGCCCCTTTTATGCTCTAAATTCTTATTTAATAATATTTTTGTGTTGCTGTCCGCTCCCATGTAAGGCCAAAAAAGTTAGCGAACACCCCTTTTTTATTGTTCAAGCACAAAAAAACCCATTAACCTTGACATTTACGATGTTCCATACATATATAGAAGCTATTTATAGTGTAACCTTTTAGCTAAGCATTGATTGGTTCAAGTTTTGCCCCTAAGTCCAACCCTAGGTCACTTCATCCGGCTGGTGTAAAAATAGAAATGTGCGTACCATGCAACGTTAAAAAATTTCTAAAAATAATTCTTGAGAAAGGAAACGGAAGTACTTGACACGGAAGTGTTCATAAATGAACAGTTTACATGCAGGCGCCGTGGTTTCGCGTGAGACATGCTAATTAAAGTTTCTATGAGCCAAAAAACCGACGAAGTGTTCGCTCCTACGTAATTTTTGGTGTGTGTCCGAAAAGTGTAAACTCCTCTAGATTCTAGATCTAGTTGTCACAATCTGCAAGTTTTTTAATCTGTTTCTTTAAAAAACATTAATTAGCCTACTAATTAGGCTACACTCAACTTTATTAATATTTAGATTTACTAATTGTTGCTAATTTTCTTTCAATTAAACATTAAATTAAGTTAAAACATTAGGCTAATTTAATGCATTCCACTTTATTTTTATAAATATTAAATAAACTAGACTATGGTTTACAGTTTTACAGTAACCGAGTAACCAAGATCAGATTACCAAATAATTTCCGACGCTATATCATGAGATTACCAAATCTAGATATAGATCTAGAGTTAGTTTAACGCTGCGAAACTGCAAAGCATTTCTGATCATGGAATAGTTTATTTGTTTACAGTTAGAGTTAAAATGACTGAGACTGAGGGAGATTCATCATTCAAATTCAGCTGCAACAAAAACAAGTTCCTCAGTTCTCGATAGTTTAATTAAAATACGCAAAGTCACCTTAGATACATTGTCGCAGTATTTTCCTAAATGATGTGCAGCTGTTCTGAACGCCGCTGACGTTATGTCTAATTCGGGTACAGTAAGTTCTTCATAGCTAGGCAAATAATCTTCGTTGGTATACGGCATCTCGGTCTGTTTGTTGTTAACAAGGCTTGACCTTGCCGTAACAGGAAATTCTGTTTTAAAATGAGAGTTACCTCGCCTGAGCAAAACAAAAAATACAGTTTTGCACTAGCGTAGCAAGCGTAGGGTGTAGATCTAGATCTACATACCATAGATCAAATATGCAAACAGATCTTACGTTTGATATTGCAACATTATTTATAACTATTATTATTACCTTTCTTTCCTATATAAATTAGATCTATAGGCTAGTTATTGTCAGTCTTTATCACACTTATAATTAGTAATATATCAAAAATCAATTTACTTTAGAAAATAAGCCTAAATATTAGAGGTAGAGGTGTGAACACTATCTAAATTCTAAATGTAGGCCTATATGTCATGAGTACATGTCCGACTATATGAACAAGGTGTGGACTGGCGGTCAGTAGCGTAGCAAGGGGGGTGGGAGGGACATATGTCCCCGGGCGCCGACCTTAGGGGGCGCCAAAATGGGTTGGAAAAATAAATTGAAAGGTTGAGGGGGGTGCAAATCGAAAGTTTGAGGGGAGGGGGTGCAATTCGAAATCTTGAGGGGGGGGGGGGGGGGTGCAAATCGAAAGTTTGAGGGGGGGTGTACAAATCGAAAACTTGAGGGGGGTGCAAATCGAAAAGTTTGTCCCCGGGCGCTGGGAAGGGTCGCTACGCCTATGCTGGCGGTGTCCAAGAGGCCCAGGAAATGCCAGTTCAAATAATGATTATTTAGTTAATTGGAGCTAGAGAGTCTTTTACGAACAAATGGTCGATCCCGACACAGGGGTGGGGAGGGGGGGGTGACACCATGCTATACCACACCAAATCACACCAGTCCTAGAGACGCCACCACTCAATAGGACTATTATTTAAATTCCTCTGCTAGTGGTACCATTATTTCTTTCAAACATTTTTCTCCGGATGGGGGGGGGGGGGGGGGGGGAGGGGGGATGCGGGTAGCCTACTTAAAACTTTAAGGGGGTGGGGGGAGGCTTAAATATGAAAAATTATATCGTGACCCCTTCCCAAAAAGTTACCCGAAAAAAAAAAGTTGTAATGACATCAAAAAAGATTGAACGTATTTAAACTCAATAATTAACGAAGAAACTTAAAAAGACCTTCTTATAACTGGAATAGGTTGAACAATTGATGAACAATTGCTCGTGAAAACTCGAATGTATGAGATATAAAATATCAACCGATAGTTAATAATACACGAATATTTTTTGGATTATGCAGCAATCCATGTATATTAAGACTGAAGGTTGGGAAGCTACATTAATTAGCAGATGCAATTGGAGCAGACCAAAATAGGTTGGGAAGCTACACTAATTAGCAGATGCAATTGGAGCAGACCAAAATAGGTTGGGAAGCTACACTAATTAGCAGATGCAATTGGAGCAGATCAAAATAGGTTGGGAAGCTACACTAATTAGCAGATGCAATTGGAGCAGACCAAATAGGTTGGGAAGCTACACTAATTAGCAGATGCAATTGAGCAGACCAAAATAGGTTGGGAAGCTACACTAATTAGCAGATGCAATTGGAGCAGACCAAAATAGGTTGGGAAGCTACACTAATTAGCAGAAGCAATTGGAGCAGACCAAAATAGGTTGGGAAGCTACACTAATTAGCAGATGCAATTGGAGCCGACAAATAGGTTGGGAAGCTACACTAATTAGCAGATGCAATTGGAGCCGACCAAAATAGGTTGGAAAGCTACACTAATTAGCAGAAGCAATTTGAGCAGACCAAATAGGTTGGGAAGCTACACTAATTAGCAGATGCAATTGGAGCAAACCAAAATAGGTTGGGAAGCTACACTAATTAGCAGAAGCAATTGGAGCAGACCAAATAGGTTGGGAAGCTACACTAATTAGTTGATGCAATTGGAGCAGACCAAAATAGGTTGGGAAGCTACACTAATTAGCAGAAGCAATTGGAGCAGACCAAATAGGTTGGGAAGCTACACTAATTAGCAGATGCAATTGGAGCAGACCAAAATAGGTTGGGAAGCTACACTAATTAGCAGAAGCAATGGAGCAGACCAAAAATATTTTGCGACAGGTCCTTGGGTGGCTGACATAATATAAATGAAAAACAAACGAATTATCATTTTTCTCATATATATTTTGCTATTTTTTTGCCTTGGTGTCACCCCCCTAATGGTGTCACCCGGTGCTGTCCGCACCCCCGCCCCCCCCCCTCGCTACGCCTCTGACAGGACCTTAACTTGTTTTGCTTGAACTGTCATGAATACACCGTCCCGTATGTTGTAAGGAATTACCATCTATCTAACAAATTACCGGCTAATTGTCTTGTATATTTTCTAGATTATAACATGTAAGTTATCTGCTTACATTGTAGGTCCTCTAGAGCAGTGAAATATAATTTACAATGCCTATTAGAGATGGCGGGCACAGTCTGTCACATGGCACCTTTATGGAAATTTATTCAGAGTTTCTTCCAGGCATCTCTTCGCACCCCCCCCCCCACCCCCCGAAGAAAGTCTAACCGACCACCCCCCCCCCCCCCGAACGAGATAGAATTTAAATAATAAAACATACATTTTTTACTAGTGTCCAACCCCCTCCCCCCCCGAAAAAAATGTTGACCCCCCCCCCCAACTGAAAATATCAAGTGCCCACCCCCCCCCCCCCTCCGGAGAAAAAAGTCTGGAAGAAAACACTGCATTTATTAATTAATTTTTAAATAAGTTCGCATTTCAGAGATAACACATTTAAAGCTGAGGCGCCATTTCCAATCAAATGTTGTATAACAATCTCATCTGTTATAATTCGTTTAAGAAAAACCATACATGTAGTTTATTTTATTTACCTCATGTTGCCTTGTTGGGCGCCTGTTAATAGTGACATTTTATGATAACAATATCGCTCCAGTATATTTTTTTTTTACATATATACTGTTCGTCGTCCTTGTTAAGGGGGACATACATCAGGGGTGTAGCGACCCTTCCCGCCGCTCGGGGACAAACTTTCAATCGGGAGCAAACTTTCAATTTGCACCCCCCCCCTCAAACTTTCGATTTGCACCCTCCCCCCCCAATCTATTTTACTTTCTCGTATATACGTAGTATAGAGAAAGTATTGTAATCGTGCAAAAAAAAAATCGAGATTTTTACAAATCTCGACGTTTTACACCTCACTGATACGGAAAAACATAATTTTGCAATCTTGTCCGTATGTCTGTGTGTGTGTCTGTGTGTCTGTGTGTGTGTCCGTGTGTAAACACGATAACTTGAGTACGTTACAGCTAGGTTGATGAAATTTCATATATAAGTATTATATCAAAATCGTAGATCCGTATCAACTTTTGAGCGATTTTCCGATAACCGGAAGTGGTACTTTTTCTACTTTGAATTTTTCAAAAGCCTATAACTTGAGTACTATTTCAGATAGATAAATGAAATTTCACATGTAAGTAAAAGATCTAATTCTCTACCTTCTGTTAATTTTTGAGTAATTTCCGTTGACCGGAAGTAGTAATTTACGCTACTTCCGATTTCTCAAAAAAACTAATGTAAATTTTAAAAGTACTAATAATATTGCGCACTATTATGCGCTTTTTTTATTTCGCGTTCACTTGGTGTGCAATTAATTTGTCTACGAGATTTTATTCTATTTTTAAAACTTTAAGTATTTAAAATGGATTAAAAATCATGTCTATAGCCCGAGTTCCCATCCCCTGTTATTTTATACTAGGCATGCTGCCCAGCTTCGCTTAGGCTTTCGAAAACATTGAGAATTTGAATGCTTAATTAATTCGCCCGAAGGTCGGTCTACGACCTCAAGAGTTATGAAGAGGTTCCTCCGTGGACATTTTTTTTCGATTTTATAGCTCATATAAGGTACCGGTCAGTCGAGGTCAGTTTTGACCCCCACATCGTAGACTTTTCGGCCAACCGGCCCCCGTGTTCTGTCGCACCAAGGCAAGATCATGCCAAATTTGAAGCGCCTGCGGCGCCGGAAGTGCCCTATCGGACACCCGACAATCTAGATCTAGAGCTAGATTCCTAAAAGAATTTTTTTTTTAAGTTTAGCCCGAGCATAATAAAAAAGAATACATTAACCAAGCTGACTTGCTGTGTCTCGAACCCGCACCACCTGCGTGGTTTAATGTACACTAACATCTCCGCTATTTAGGCACCTTATAAAAATACCGAGAATGAAACACGTATTTTAAAATCTTAACTTACGCGAATATGCCTATTCTTTCAAATTAATTTTTTTATCCCAAATTAGCCAGTTCATAACAAAGATTTTGTATAAAATAAATAAGTCTTGAAATAGTTTAGTCCTAATATAGAAATTTATTTTTGGAATTGATTTTAGAGAAGTTAGAGTCTAAATCTAGATCTTAGCGTCTACGTCTAGATCTAGTTATTGCGTAGATTTAGATTTAGTCTAGATCTAGAATCTCTAGATCTAGAATCCAAATACATAAAATAAATTTTATGAGTTTAGGCCGGAAAAATTGTATTGTATACATTTCATAGTGTACGTAGATCTAAATCAAATTTGAATGAAATAGTTCATTTCTTTTCATTCTAAACACGGCAGATTGACGTCATTAGTTAATGTATAAGCAATAGTGGACGTCACAGTTTTTATGCGTTCTTTTTCACATATATTAATGCTTTTCCGGTGGCATAAATAATACTGTTTCTCTATATTCGAATACGCCTTTATTTTTTATTTTTCTTCTTTAAATAATTTTGTGGTTATACATTTAAAACATCTAACATATTTTTTTCAACAAAAGTCCGTAAAAAGTTCTCGATATATCGCTGCCGATTCTGACGTGATGTCCGGCGAAAATTTTTTTGCGGACAGAGAAAGAGAGAGAGAGAGAGATGTGCGAACGTGGGGATTTATATATTAGGATAAGAATATTCGAGAAAGTTTAGGGGAGATCACTCCCGGTTTATTTATATTTATAATGCAAAAATGCAACTAAAATATATTTTAATTTGTTTTTTCCAACCCACTTTGGCGCCCCCTAAGGTCGGCGCCCGGGGACATATGTTCGG